TCGTAAGGCTGCGGTTCTCTCGACTGGTTGTGTATCTTTTTCTTCCACACTTTTTCCTTCCACTCAACTTTCTGTTAACATGCTTGGATACAGCACTCTGTGAACAGCCAGCTTCTTTGGCAATGAATGTTTGTGGCTTACCCTCCTTGTGAAGGGTGTCAATGATTGTCTTCTGGACAACTGTCAGATCAGCAGTCTTCCCCATGATTGTGTAGCCTAGTGAGCCAAACTGAGAGACCATTTTGAAGGCTCAGGAAACCTTTGCAGGTGTTTTGAGTTGATTAGCTGATTGGCATGTCACCATATTCTAATTTGTTGAGATAGTGAATTGGTGGGTTTTTGTTAAATGTGAGCCAAAATCATCACAATTAAAGAACCAAAGACTTAAACTACTTCAGTCTGTGTGCATTGAATTTATTCAATACACGAGTTTCACAATTTGAGTTGAATTACTGAAATAAATGAACCTTTCCATGACATTCTAATTTATTGAGATGCACCTGTACATGGTATGTAACTTGTTTAATTGTATATATTTTATATATTTTCTCAGATTGTTGGAGTACATTTAATCTGAAAATGTAATCTGTGCTGTGTTTGAAATGACTAAAATGTTTCATACTACATACTGCACTGTAGGGCTGCACAATTAATCAAAATAAAACAAAAAAATGCGGTATGGATTAGTGCTCTTAACAGATCACAAAGGTTTCCATTTAATTAAATAAATATATGCGCTGAATGGTTTCAGAGTGAAGCACGGCACTGTGATTTTAGACATGAGCAGCTAATTTTCTGTGAGTGTTTGCAGCATCACAGAGTGGCAGCGTCTGCAGTAAATTCTGCTCAACACATCACAATAAAAGTTAGATGGTTTAATGTTTAAAAATTAATACTATTAGTAACTAGTAGATAACTATTGTAATTTTACTTTTGTAATGTAAAATAAATTTATTATAATTATATTTTGATATACTCATTTCTTATTTTACAGTGAAATAATCAATTATAATATAATATTATATTTAGTTTTTTATAATTGTTTGTATTTTAATTTAATAATTATAAAAAATTATTATAGTTATTATTACATTAGAGCCATATTGATATTATAATCACACAGTTTTGGTCAAATGTTGCATCCAAACGAACAAGCACAATAAACCTGGTATTTAATTAAATTTATTGTTTTTAATTGCGATCACAATTTTTATCAGGAAAAATTGCTATTACATTTTTTTCCCCAAATCATGCAGCTCTACTCTACAATATATTTTTATTATATAGTATATATTTCAAATGCAACCCTAATTTCTGTCTGCCCTTTTGTTAAAGATTACATGCATACGTCCATTTGTCTAACTCACTAGCATAGAAAGTCTTTTATAGTATCCAAACATGTTTTATATGTTGTAGTCCCATTGTATATTGAGTCATTTAGAAGACATAGGAATCCCATGGAACCATAAAAGTTGCTCATAGTATAGGAAGTCCACACTGTGAGGCCCTTTGAGGTGAACCACAGATTTAATTTTCTGAAACCAAAGCAAAATATATTACATTATGTGCTACAACGTTCAACTGTTGCCTGGAGAGCTATCATTCATCCTTGTAAAGATTTACCGCTTACTATCGCTGTCTGTGGCCTGGCATTGTGTATTGTATCATGTAGAAATCATGCTTGATTTTCCTGTGTGTTTATAAATAAAATCCTACAGGCGTAACTGTTGTGAAACTTTGGGTTACATTGCGACTGGATAAATGTTATAATGCTTTCTGTCAAGCACTTTAGCTGAACAAAAGCAGTGTGCTTAGTTTGTTATCAAGCTTTGAAAAACAACAGAAAATACGGTTTCTTTTCACACATTCTACCGTGTCGTATTTGAACCATGCACTCTCAGAAAAAAAAAGGTACAAAAGCTGTCAATGGGGCAGTACCTTTTCAAAAGGCACACTTTTGTACCTTTTAGGTACTAATATGTACACTTTAGGTACTTATATGCATCTTTAAGGTACCAATATGGACTCTTTAGGTACAAAGGTGTGCCTATTGAAAAGGTACTGCCCCAATGATAGCTTTTGTACCTTTTTTTTCTGAGAGTGTGCAGTAATACAACAGTGTTTCCTTGACATGTTGTAAGCGTTGACCCAGTGCCCTGTCTCTCTGACATTCACACCTCTTACTCTTGCTGAATGGAATGCAGATGCTTTTGTTTGCAACTTACCATATGGGGAGAGATTTGTAGTGAGGCCGCAACTCTGACTTTTTTTTTCTGAAGTTCTGTTGGAAAGACTTCCCTCAGATGGTGCAATAGATGAAAATGTGTTGAAAGCTGTGTTTAGAAAGAAGCCTCAATGTATGAAAAAATTCAAAAGGTAGGAACATCTGGCTGTGTTTTGTGAGGATGCAGAAATCCGACTGTTATATTTATTTATATTGTTATGTCTTTTGCACTTCTTCATACCTTGCTTCAGGCACTACTTGCCATTCATTAAATGGTTTATAGGTGTGCACACACATACCTGAACTTTTTAAACCAAGGTCAAATACTGTGGTTTATAGTATTTAGCACTTATGTGTTAAGAATATCTTAATGGACATCTGAAAAACACCTAATTTTTAATTACATTATTGAATGTTACATAAAACATCAGAACCTCCCTCCCTATAGTGACATTAGAACAAATTTGGTCATGTTGAAACTCTAACCTGCACAGAATAAAAACACTGATACTAAAGTGTTAAATTTGGTCCTCTGCCAGAAGGAACTAGAACTCTACTTTGTAATATATTATTTAATAATTAGCTATCACATTAAGTCAGCTTTATTTTGCCTTAAAGATAAAAAAGCTTCAGTTAATTTAAGAAAATTATATACATATCACAATAGCCGCAAATATGTTCCTTTAAAATGAAAACACAATATTTTCAGAACTTAATAATCTTACTTCTGTCATTAAACCTGAGAAATGACATATCACAGCCTGAATTAGTGTCCTGTATTTTAAACCTCTTTCTTCAGGGCAAGAGGAAGCAGTGCAGTACTATGTTGTTGGGACCAAACAGCCCTTAATGGAGGTGACAAAACAAACGTCCTTAGAGAAAACCTCAAGAGCCAGTTACATGAACACTTCAGGGCCTGCAGCTGAAGTTTACCCGGACATCGCTTCTTTCAGGGGGCTCACATAAACATTACACTCTCTGGGTAATTGATCCCAAATCTTGTTTGACAACGTTTTTTCACTGCAGACACTTCACATGCTTCCTGAACATAGCTGAGCTTTTTTGGCCGCGTTGCAAATACCACAACAACTCAGCACTCATTAAATCTTGTGCTGAGTGTTATCTGCCAGTTTGTTTGGTTTAGTAATTTTTTATCAATTTTTTTTTTTGCACTAGCTCTGTTTGCTGTATTCCTTACATTATATATATATATATATATATATATATATATATGAATATATGAATGTATGTATATTGCCTGCATATTTTGGTAAAGGATTTCCGATTAAGCAGCCTGATTTGCATTTAAAAATAAATAGTGTATAAACAATTTCCTTCAGAGATTGCTAGTAAATTTCATAAATAATTACAGCAAGTAGCACATTCAATTAAATGTGAAATTCTGCAGTAGAATGACTGATTTATTTACAAAACATTTTTACGTTTGTATTTAGCATCGATGAATTATCTCTGTATTCTCTCAAAATATTTTTTTAAATAAATAGTATTAGTTGTTTGTGTATATAATTTCATTTGTTAGTTGAATTCAAAATCCCATTTTTGGCCCTATGTTGAAAACCATGAATATTGATCATTGTTGTATCTGTTATTTCTTTAACTTTGAGGACTAACTTATTTGCATGATCTGGATCAGCTGAGTGACAAAATCATCTGTGATGTCGATGACATTATTCTTGCAGTTTTTTTTTTTTTGTCTTATCTAGTGGCATTAGCAGTTCAGCCGTTTTGTTTCAAATGTGCCATTGCACACATTACTTACTCCAAAAGTCAAATAATTAAACTGAAAAAATCCATTTTGGTAAAGGATTAAATAAAGATATGTGTGCGTAAATAGGTTACTCCCACAGGCTTTCATGAAAACATTAGGCTAAATACATTTTTGAAGACTTTAGGGTCAATGCCAGTTTTTCCCAAACATTTGTTTTAACCACCTTTCATATAAAGATACTTCTCATAATATCTCAAAATACTTCTGAAGAATGTGAAAGTGCAAACACAAACTTAAAAACTATACCCACGTCTCAGTAGCCCACATTAAAAAACAAGCTGCGTTCAATTACAGACAGCAAATACGCACTCTGAATCTCTCTCTCTCTCTCTCTCTCTCTCTCTCTCTCTCTCTCTTTCAATTACAGACAGCAAGTACACACTCTGAATCTCTCGCTCCCTCCTTCTGTCTTTCTCATTTCTTTTCTTCTGCTTTGGCTCTTTGATTACTTTTGAAAACATTTATATTCCCCAATAACATGGGTTTAGTCTAGTGATCAGTGATTAAATCCAGACTGGTATAGTAAATGCAGAAGAATATATGTGGAAAATAATATCTATCTATAATTGTTCATAACAGCTAAAGAAATGGAAACATTTATGGTAATGTTTGCAATAAAAATGCCAGTTACAGCTCCACATTAAATAAAGATTCAGAGCTGTACTACACTACACTGTACTATAACATTTACTTATTTTCAAATTCACATTTTTCACTAAAGATTTATATTTAAAATTGGAATGCTGTAGATTTCATAAGAAAGGTATGAGGACAAATCCCTCATATCTAAAGATATACTCTTTACATACCTGCCTGTAAAATAACTATGATGATTAATGACAGACAGACAGATAGACAGACAGATAGACAGATAGATAGACAGATAGATAGATAGATAGATAGATAGATAGATAGATAGATAGATTGCTAGATTGATTGATTGACTCATGTTTAATAATAACAAACAACATGCATACAGGAGCCATGTTTATTTATTTGTGCTTTTGGCAGAAATTATTGTACAGTTGATAATTAAACATTTCTACTATTGTCATCAAGAAAATATTTTCTTTCATTGCATCCTTCTTTAAAGAAACACAGTGCTACGTCTTGTTCAGTTGCATTATTTAATCATACGTCATAACATTATTTGCAGAATTACATTATGTACGTAGTTGATTTCAAGCAGTTTGTTGTCAGTTGAGCCAATGATCCTTTTGCCTATAAAAGAATCCATTACAGGTTGGTTGCTCCAGTAGGTCAAAAGCATACATTAAGGCTTACTTTCCTTGCTTTGTCTTTGTGGGATCTTTGCGTGAAGTTCCTCCTCCCATCAGGCATTTGGTGTTGATGTCAACGTCACCACTCAGTATTCTTCAGTTCCCACAGTGGCCGTGTCCTCTGCCCTCATCACAATCCTGCAGAGGTCTGAGACAATGCACAGCTAGTCTGCCAGGATGTCGTATTCTACCTATAGTTTCGGACAGTTGATCATAGTTAAAGTTGTCAATTACAACAAAAGTAGTATGTATTATTGTTTCTGTATTCCAGTAAACACTTAGCATAGGACACTTGCATTTTTACACCTATGTTGTCTGTTATCTTATTTGTTTTTATTTAAGTGACTTTAAATGTAACAAGTGATCTATTTAAAATGAATATGATGATAATTCAATGGAAAAAATAAATGAGCAATAATAACATTCATACATAGCATGTAAGTACATATTATTTGCATCACACCTTTTTGTAACACGGGGTTTTTGACTTGATGTGAAGTGGAAAATGGAAGTTTGTCATTCAGTCTAAGAAGCAAATTAACAAATTAAGCTTTTGCTGTTTAAATTGACACTGTAATCCATCATTGGAGAATCAAACTTGGATCTATCATGATTCTGCTGGCTGCTTAGATTGGCCCTCAGGGCAACCAGAAATAGACAGGGAGAGGGTAACCTGCACCAACTGAACGAATCAATCACACAGAGACTTGTACACACTTACAGCAAAAGGTGTTTTGATAAGAATTTAATGGCCAAAACTCTGATTAAATAATTGTTTTCCTGTTTTTTTTTTTGTTTGTTTTTTTAATAAAAATGGTTGATCATCCTTTGTTTTTTTTGTAAACCTTATCAATGATATTAATGTTTTTAGTGTGACTCTTCCATTATTGTCATAGCTTGTAATCGAAGACTGTGTATGCATAGTAAGAACCAACAAAAAGTACAATTAACTAAATGTTTGCCAGCCCAACTGTGGAATACACATAGAAATAATCACTTCAAAATCTTAATTCATAGTCATATGCTGCCTGTTCTAGATTTACTGCATATGGCAAACAATTTCCCTTAGCATAATCCCTTATCACATACAGTGGGTGAATCATATCAGATAAATGACAGAATTTTTTTATTCTTTTTTTTTTTTTGCACCCAAAGTGTATTTAGTTGACCTTTTACCCAGTGTTCGAACTATACCGTGGTCTTTGGGGGAGCCCACTTGTTTTTTTGGAGCCGAGCTCCCCCTAGCTCCCCCCTAGTTCGCACCCTGCTTTTACCTGTATAAGTTCAGTATGACGCTTTACGTGTATACTTTATACTGCTGCTATACCTGTGGAAACTATCTTTGATTCTGTAGTACAGTTAATTCCACTACAACACTTTGTGTAACAGGTCATGAGTATCCCTTCAATCTCGCTGCAGTCTGGTATTATTGCTACGCTATAAGAAATAAGAAAAGGACATTGAAAGACTTCCCAGACAGTTACATTTTGAAGTCTAGGCTATATGGGTATAGGCTATAATTTCATAAGATCTTTTTTCATGGACTGTGGCAACAATTAGTCCATGTTCTTTTCTTAAAGAGTGAAATACATAGCTAAAGCTTCTTGTCCTGTGAAGAAGCAGTAAGTCATCTGAATTCCCAGGAAAATGGTGTTGTTTTAAGACTGAAGGTAATGCTGAACAAATTACACCATATTTGGGCACAGAGCCAGGCTTCTGTAGAGAATAAAACCATAATCCTATTCAGTTTGCCCGTAACCGATATGAGATTTTCTTCAATGAGTTGGAAGAATATGTCAAGGGGAGTTTTTTTTAGATCTATTTAAATGACAAACAATAAAAAGGCAGGATTGCGTTAGAAAATTCTTCAGAAGTGTCCTGTATTATTTTGGATTAATGTATTGAGAATAATCATAATCAGATTTTCCAAGTGTGTTTTTCCCTTTTTAGTAGTAAAAATACATGTACAGGTGGAACTGAGCAATTAACTATAGTGCCAGCAGCCATAATCTGTATTTGCTTAAGTGAAAGTTCAGAACACATCCACGTGTTAGAAATATATTTAATTTATGAAAACATTTCATGTTACCTGTTATGTACATTTTAGACTGTCAGCAAGTTGATAGGTTAAGTCTTTTTCTGACTTTTTGAGGCTGGTGTATTTAAAAAAAAAAAAAAAAGCTTTCAATTTATGTTGCTTATACTTAATTAGTTTATATAATTAAAATAAAATGTTCAATAGCATTACAAATATTTTTGTTGTTTATACTCATATTTAAGACACTAATAGATTATTGAAAATATTACAAATTTCAAAGCAAGAAATGCAGATATGTGCACACATTGTATGTTTACAAGTGTAATCAGTCTGAAAATAAATTGATAATGTTTCCTTTACATCTAGTAAAATAAATAAAAAGGGCTAATTTGCAAACTCAAATGTATTGCTGTATTGGCCAAGAGAATTGTAATTGCTAATTACTGCAAAATATCAGAAAATGCTTCACAACAGATGTGCTATATAAACTACAACCACACTAGCTGACAGGTCTATTACTTGCTCGTTTGGACACGTTTTAAACCACACCCTGATCCAGTGGTTTTAAATCCTTCAAATAAGAGACAAAATGTGCAGTGCTGTGGCTTACCATGCAGGACCAGGAATGAAAACCACAGGTCTGATCAACCCAACATAAGCACGCAAATATAAAGCATTCAGCAGCAATAATGCTACTACCACTACTAATGATAATTATTATCATTATTATTATTATTATTATTATTATTATTATAGTTAAGTTACGTTTTGGTGTAATATGATCATCTTGAAGCCAAAATATATAAGTCCTTCATTAGCATGATGCATCCAATTACCTAATAACCTAGAATTTCTGAGATGCGATTGTGCATTTTGTTACATTTTTCGGTAATAATTCGATTTTTTAAAATAATAAATTATGTTTATGTATTTCTGACTTCTGGTTCGCCTTAATCAGTCTCCTCATGTTGATTAGCCTGGTTAACCTTTGAGCCGTACTGGGTCCGTAAGGGTTAATCAGGCCGGGATCTCAGTGACCCGAGGGTCAGATTGCCTCTATCTCATGCTTGAAGGATTCGGTGGAGGCAGCGATAAGACTAGGGTCAAGTTTCCTCTTCCAACCCATCAAAGCGCAAGACACCTGCGCCTAAACCTGCGCTCGCAAAGCTTTTGAGAGTTACTATATCATGTCCGCGGATTAATATGAACAAAATAAATGTAGGCTACTCTGAGTGTTCAATAAAAATTGGGGGGGAAATCCAGTGGGGAAAAAAATTATATTTTCTTATGTTCGATATAACATTTTATATATTAGTTAATCATGCAGAGTTTAGCTGTGTCTTTTAAGGTTCAACGTCTAGTTTGATATGTAGTCTGCTGATGACTTTGCAGATTTGCTGCGGTTTGGATATTTGGCTTTGCTTATTCAATGTCTATCGATTTATTCGCTTATTACTCTTCTTACAGGAGTCACATCTTACACACTCGTGTCCCAGCGTGCGTAGCCTACTTTACTTTACAGACAATAATAAAGTGATTTACCCCTTTCTTCGCGTCCCAGCCATGGAAAATCGTTAAAGATCCTGTTATTTGTGTGTGATGATCAGTAAATATTTAGTGTAGTGTCTCGTCCTAATCGATAGAAGTCCCGATGGGGGAGCGCTATTGTGTGCGTGGACTCTTTCTTGTGCAGTGCGTTTTACAATGATAAATACCAGGACGACTTTGCTTGCACTTTACTGATCAACATCAAGTTGCTTGAAAACGGCTTTCAGCGTGGAAGTTACTTCAGCGCAACCACCGATCACAGGCTATTTTTAAGTGCAAAGTGATTCGTTTCTACTCGATTGCTAGTGGCGTTTGCTTTTATTTTGAGATCTTTCAGAGGTGGAACAAATGACCTATAGTGAATAAAACTTTGTTTTTGGAATTTTAATGAAACGTGGTTCATGTAATTAGCTACTTAGCTAAGTAGTCACATTTGAGGCCTTTGTATTAAGACTGTATATTAATAGGCCTATAGCCTAATTCAATGTGTCTTCACGGCTTTGCGTTGGAAATGCTGGTAGGCTTTAAATAATGTGATATGAATACAGGCGTTTATTTATTGTTTGTTTGTTTGTTTATTTGAATGCCTGTTGAATGGTTATATATGACACACCGTTCATCTAGCTTGTATTAGCTATACTCAGACCTGAAACTCTCCTGTGTATAGCTAGGTGGCATAGCAGAATACACAATTAAAGCGCCCTGCATAGCCTACACAACTCTTAAAACCTATCAGGCATTGACTGGATTACTTTACTTCAACCATAACTGTCGGATATACTGCAATTTGACGTCACTCGTGAACGCAGTAGACGTCTTACGACTGCATTCTAGCAGCAGTGCTTTCTGACGTGCTGTTAGCTTTGTTTTTATTCAGACTCGTGGTCTAAGCATATAAGCATCAAAGCCTTATTGATGAGATGTTCTCGCATTCTTGCAGATTTATGTTTTTTTTAAACAATATTTGCATAACGGTAAAAGTTTATTTCGTCAGTTATCGAAATTCACTGATCTAATAAAGTCCTCACTTTGGACTTAACCATTGAAAAAGCGACAAAGGCATATCACTGTTACTAGTTTGCACATAAACAGACAGGTGTCTCTCCTGACTTCACCCCCTCCCTCCCCCAATCACACAGCCCACACAAAGCAGCTGCACTGAGGAGGCTTTTTACCTTCTGGGGAAAAGAAAAAGACGCACAGGAGCAATTTCTGTCTCTTTTTTTTTTTTTTTTTTTTTTTTTTTTTACAAAAACAAAAAATCTCTGTCTTCAAAGTCATCAACACGACTGTCCTTCTATTAGGATATGTACTACTAAATATTAACGTGATTTAAGCGTCGCAGAAAAGTTTGACCGATTTTGCTTGTCGGTTTGTCTTTTTTTTTTTCCTCCCTAAAGTTTAGTAATCATTCAAATAAACAGAGAGCCGCATTTTTGTCAGTGGAAAAGGAAACGTTGATTCCACTTCCAAACAGAGGGTTAATTCGCACAGAAAGAGAAGACTAAGTATATTTTTCATATAGGAGAGGATGCATCACGGGGAAGACGAATCAACATCATATGCATTTGGTATGTTCAGGCTATAATTGTTGAGAATCAAACCTCATTTAGCATGTACATATTATTTGGAATGTGTATGTTAAAGTAAACCTGATTGTTTTGTGTGTTGTGAATTAATTCAAAACATTGATTAAAATAATATAAATAAGAACATTGTATCTACAGCAAACGCATCCTTGAGCGGAACACTTTGTCCATTCTTTATATAAGCATTGCAAGTTGGTACGCATTATTTTATTTTTATTTTATTTTATTTTTCTTTCTTTCTTTTTGATCTTTGTCAATAATTTTGCTGATATTTAAGAAGTGATGGTGTATTGCATGCATGTCTCTCTATGCGTCTTTACTAGTCGTATTCTTGGTTTAAAAAAGAACAAAAAATATGAGACATCCGTGTATTTGCAAGTTAAAGTGTGAAAATATGAACACTTACCTTGATCTTGGGGTAAAATCCACTTTGCATCATACGCTATAATTTACGTCTGCGGTATTGCTTTCGGCTGTCTTGTTCACATACAGGCTTTTGAATGGTCAGAGATGATGTACGGTGTTCACTTTTGATCGTTTCGCTAAACTGGCCAAAATTAACCGAAACGCTGCAATAGCCTACTCCCGTGCGTGAACAACACCGTAGAGAAAAGGTGTGGAAGAGACCTGCAAGCGCACCTCTGCGACGTCCAAGTCAATTAGAAGGAAATCTCAAAAGTATTAATCAGATTAAAACAGGCGCATGTTACTTTGGTGTATGTGAAAGGAGAGCGACCGATGTAGTTTCCATTTAAGATGGCTCTTCCACCTTAAAGAGCGAGTTTAGCCAGAAATAATCCTAACGCAAGGGGGCGCCCATATACTGTTGTACGTCCAGTCTTCAGCATTTTTTCCCTCTGAGGCATCATCATATGCTCTGATTTAGCACTGTACGTTTTTCAGTGGACCTAACTCCGACAACCCCTGGTGATACAGAAAGTAGACTTCAACAAGCGAGCTTTCGAAAAAAATGTGCTCTGACTTATAACCCGAGGAGCGGAAACGGAGACACCTCATTTGACCACCCCGAGGCTCCCAGCGAACATCTAGGGCAATTAACATACGACTTCTGGGCTTCTGCTTTCTCAATGAGCATCATTCATCTTATGTTTGAATGAATGTTGAATGTTTTGAGTTTTATTTATTTATTTATTTATTTAATCCAGTGATCCATATCCGAGGAAGTTATGTGATATTATATTAACTTCACTGAGTAAAGATATCTGTAGCATGCCAAGGCCCTAAAAGCACAGTAATCCTAAAATTATCTTTTGTTAGGCTATATGAGAACATGCTGAATGCAGTATCGCTGCATAAAAAAAAACATATCGTATTGAGGGCCGTTTGGCCTTATATATATATATATATATATATATAGGGATAAATCAATGTATTATAAGTTATTAAAAAACCTCAATATTCATTACTTTATTGCTAGTAGTCATGATTACGACGAAAGAAAACAGCAGCACAAGTGACAATTGGTGTTGATTTCAACAAGTAAGACTGTAAATTGTGTGGATAACGGTATAAAAGTCTGTAATCATCAAATATACTTTTTAGATTGTGGAGGTATATACACGTAAAGTCAGTCGACTTACATATAAGACCTATAGCCTAATACGCCAATATAATAGGTATTTTGGACTAATTTATTGGATTGGTATATAAAACAAACGCAACGTAAGCTATTCATGTTCTGATCAAATTAAACAAATGTAATATTCACAAAAACATAGCTTGCACACATTCAGACACTTGATTTTTTTAAATATTTAATTTAATAAAAATGTTTGTAGAATTTTTTTTTTATTATTATTGCTGAAAAAGTAGAGTTTCGCATAGCCTATATCATTGACATAGCTATGTCTTGATTACAATGTAAGTAGGCTACTCGAACTTACAACAATAACTTGTTCCCTCGTGGACGGTCTCTGTTTTAAATGTATTTGTCAGTACATTATTGACTTGTATATGCAGTAGGCCTATATGCAGTTTCCTGATTTATAACTAGACGTTAATGCGGATAAATGGATTAACGAAATGACCAAATCATATAGGCTACGTTGCGGCCAGTCTATAGGTAGGCTATAACAAAAAGGTATGCAATGCATGTAACACACATTGGAAAATCAAAAATCTAAATGACAGAAATACCATTATGACGGAGATATTTTCATTTTGTTGTCACATAAGAGGGAATGTAGCATTTTTATTACATATATTTAAATTAGCATTTTAGAAAAGCCTCGGACCTATGTGGTGTGGAAAGCGGCTTTAAAAGGAATGCCAATCTTGTTTTTTATTTCAAATAAATAAAAATAATGAACACGTATTACGATCATTTTTCATCGAACTGTGTACAGAGCTACTCTCTTTAGGACCAAGAGGCTCCTCGACCCTTATTCCTGGCTTTGGCAAAGAACCAAGTAGCACAAGTGCCGACTAGCCAATAGGGTTCAGTGGGAGGTCCGTGAGGTCTGACCAGTTAAACACAGTCACTTTCCATATATGGCAACTCATCTCCATGGTAACGTGTGCTAAGTTGCAGCAGTCGTGTCAAAGTTCACTATATAGAGAGCTCAGTGAGCTGATCAGAGAGAAAGCATTCTGCCAGCCCAGCGCCTACAAATCGCAGTCACTTCCTAACCTCCCCCTTTTTAACATATTTGATCACTTTGGTTCTCTGTTCTCTCTCTTATTATTTTTACGCGCATGAAGGAGGTTCTGTAGGTTGTGATCTTTTTGTTTTATTATCAGTCCTGTTTGCCGGAGAGTTGACTTCATATTTGACTCGAGCACAGGCTGCAACTGCGCGCGGCTGCTACCGCTACCTCATCTGAAGAAAAGGAAGAAGCGGCAATATTTTTTTTTTTTTGCCAGTTGTTGGTTTTCTTCAAGACTTTACGCTGGAACTTCTCGCGTGTCGCAAGTATCTTTGAAAGCTGCGTGTTTCTGTGCGTCCGAACATCGCTACACACGTGAAGTTATCTGTCCTGCTCTGTTCATATCTTCATCCGCAGTGTTTATTTCCCATTTTTTCGTTGATGGGTTTACTGGATGGATGACTGCAAGTGCCCCTGGACTTGGCCTCTTAGAACAAGGCTGCTATTCGTCTTGTCTTTGCTTCAGTTTTAACCACATGCCAGGTAACGCTGTTTCAGTCAAGAAATAGACTACTGTTTGTCGTCGGTGCGCAACTTTGAACGGACATTCAGACTCTAACCGACCGTGCCGATCCTGAATTATTTATTTTACCTTCCTAAGTGATAAAGGCACCGTGCTGCGTTATTATTTCTTTAAGCAAAGCATTCCGAAACCAAAAACGGGAAACAAAAAGTTTTCTTAACGTTGACTGATAGATATGGCAATGGTAGTGTGGAGAGGCTCCCAGGACGATGTGGCCGAGACCCAGGGCACCCTCTCATCGCAAGCCCAAGGAGGACTATCCCTTCCAACCCCTCAACCAGGCCAGCTAGGTCTGACGGCCTCTCAGGTCGCCCCTCCGACCCCTCAGACACCCGTTCAAGGACCCCCGAACAACAACACACAGTCCACCCCGACGAACCAGACGACGCAGAGTCAGTCGGAAAAGCAGCAACCACAGCACATAGAGTGCGTGGTTTGCGGGGACAAATCCAGCGGCAAACACTATGGCCAGTTTACATGCGAGGGGTGTAAAAGCTTTTTCAAACGGAGCGTACGAAGGAACCTCACTTATACATGCCGTGCCAACAGGAATTGTCCCATTGACCAGCACCATCGCAATCAGTGTCAGTACTGCCGCTTCAAAAAATGCCTCAAAGTTGGCATGAGACGGGAAGGTATTCGGATTTTTGTTGTTTTACTGCTGTCTTTGTCTTTTGTATTTAGCCTAATTAAACCATGCATGCTACGTCCCCCTGTATTTTGTCCCCGACTCTTCTCTCTCAGTCTGCCCGACCACAGCACGCGAAGGAACCGCCTACAGCGCTCGAGTCTGAGCGTTATCTCGGCGCCCGTAATGCGCCAATAATGAACACTCTCTCAAGCGACTATTTCGCATTGTACGTGTTGGCAACGTTAAATTGATCACCACTTTTATTCGGCGACGAAAATATGGGCATTCGTCTTGCATTTTTAATAATATCGCTGCAGATATGCCGTGCGGTTATGGCGAGGGAGTGTGGAGAGGCAGCGTCAAAATCACACACACACACACACACACACTAGGTTAGGGTCTCCAGATCGACCGCAATCTACATTGCTCTTCTCCGATATAAAAGTAAATAATAATCACTGTTGCGCTTTTGTTAATATTTATGTGAATAAATGTTCCACCAGACACCCAGTTCGCTCGCAGATTCTCAATACACAGCAGAACTGACTCTGTCGCTAGCTAAATAGGTTAAGGGTTAGCATTCATGTCTTTCTTTGTGCATGTATTCACTGGACTCATGTTGTCTACTGTGAAACGTAAACACCAATCATTTGTAAAGTAGGCCTACGCTAGAATTTAAACATTTGCTAATATCTATTTTTCTGTTAAGTAAAACCTTGACACTAATTATTTTCTGTGTATGCAGTGCACGGTGCAGAACATTATTGTGAGCATATCGTGTACCTAGTTTTTTTATTATTATTATTATTATTTCACTTAACAGTAGAACCATGAAAGCCACATAGTTTAAAAGTTCTGCACGTGTCAAGTGACATAATTTGATTGTATTAATACAGTTTGGTGTAGTTCTCTAAACAAATTGTGTGGTAACAACACACTAAGTGAAGTAGAAACAAGATCAAGCTATGTTATGTTGTTGTAGAATTCAAGCATCAATATCTACAGTTTCTCATTTTACTGCAGCCGTGCAAAGGGGACGGATGCCACCCACACAGCCACACCATGGTCAGTTCGCCTTGACAAATGGGGACCCACTGCACTGCCATTCCTACTTATCCGGATATATCTCTCTACTACTACGAGCGGAGCCCTACCCAACTTCCCGGTATGGCAGTCAATGCATGCAACCCAACAACATCATGGGCATCGAGAACATTTGTGAACTGGCAGCCAGGATGCTGTTTAGTGCGGTAGAGTGGGCCAGGAATATTCCCTTCTTCCCAGACCTCCAAATTACCGACCAGGTTGCCCTTTTGAGGTTGACCTGGAGTGAGTTGTTTGTACTCAACGCTGCTCAATGCTCCATGCCGCTCCATGTGGCTCCACTTCTGGCGGCGGCTGGGCTCCATGCCTCCCCCATGTCTGCGGACAGAGTGGTCGCCTTTATGGACCACATTAGGATCTTCCAAGAACAAGTAGAAAAGCTCAAAGCTTTGCACGTTGACTCTGCTGAATACAGCTGTTTAAAGGCCATTGTTTTATTCACTTCAGGTAAGTGTTCATTCTCTAAACTTCTGTTTTATATGTCTGTGTTTTTACAGTAAATAAACGTGGATTATTTTAATAAGATCTAGAAAACCTTATGTGTGCTGGTTTTAGCCTATTTATCTGTAAACGTTATTAAAATACACTCGTCGTAATAGCCACGTAGGCCTAAGTGTAAATATTTTGCAGAGCTCTCTGATATTAATTTCAATGAGAAAGTAAAATTAGGAAAATTATTTCTTCCCATATTTTTACATCGAACATCGTTTTTATCGTCAATATAATACAGCAATTATATTTAACGCTTAAGAATTTATTGTAACACTTACGCTCTTTTAAAAATTAAATGGTGATGCAATTAATTTTTTTGTGACAGCCAGCAATACATAAAATATATTATTTATACGCATTCAAAATAATGGAAAATATATGTTTACTTATAGCGCCTATTAGCTACGTAGTCTTGATTTTTTTTTATAAAAATAAATAATAATAATAATAATAATGTAAATACAAATAATGTTAGAAAATGAGCACTGTCGACACTATCGAAATTCTAAATTGTAGCTTTATTCATATTTTGTTGTAGTTTCACAATACATAAACATAATAAGATCTTGAAGGGCAATCAATTATTTGTATTTATTTGCAATGACAGATATTAAGGATGTCATGCTGGAAGGGAGGGGTGAGGCTGTAGGAAAGGGAAGAAAGGCCTAATGCTCCGTTTACACATATCACAGCCCAGCTCTACACTGCAGCCGATAGTTTAAATTGATAGATATGTTCACGTTGCGATAAACACCAGTGGCTAGTTTTGTTTAATTGTTCTTTATTGTGGCGGGCGACAAGACATTTTTGTGCGTTGTTAAAAGCTCACAGTTCTTCCTTGTTTTGTTAGGATGATCTAGGGATCCAAGACATATGCTGGACTCTTTCCAGAACTGGGTCATGACCCTGACTTCCTTTCTTTATTTGTGTATCACAGAGCTAAAGCGAAAAAGTTTTACAGATTTAAAACTTCATGGTGAATATATTTTCTCGGAAATGTATGACTGGAAAAGCTTTCGTAGCCTACCAGTTGCACGATAAATATTGCCCCAGAATGCAAACATACTGTTTTGCTTCCTTTACATATAATGTTCCCTACAACAATAACATATAAATGGATCAAAGCTTAAAAGAAGAAATAATAACGGAAAGGTTGCTAACATTACACCTTTAAAAGTGCATGCCATGTATGGCAGCATTTTGCAATCCCCTTATTGATTTAAAGTCTTATACCACCTCTTGTGGATATTTTGCTCTTCGAGTTTGCTGTTGTTCAGTATGTTTTAAAAGTTTTGGATTAAAGGGTGTGTTGCTTATATATATATATATATATATTGCCATTCTGTTTATCTTTTTGCCAGAATAGTATGACCCACATGATGCTATATTGCTTTTTATGGGGATAACTTGAATCATGATTCAAAAGGTTTAGAACAACTCGTAGCCTACGCTGGAATGTTTACTCAATTAGCTCTCTTTTATAAAATACGAGTATAAACGATCTGTGTATCTCGTAAGGTATATGTATTTGAACGTAAAAACTAAAGTTAACTCGTATGGCACATTTGATTTTCAGAAAGCGAATGTTTTGTGCATTGCGTTAGTTGGGCTACATGCTATATATTGTGATGTGCAGTGTGTAGGCTATATACTGGCGTAATAGCAAAGTTCAATGAAATAGTATGTGTTACTGTAGTGTGGCTTGTCGTTTTGTAAATTGATTGTCCAGGTGTGGAGCTGATGTTATAAACATTTGATTATCTCTCCATTCCTTATAGATGCGTGTGGCCTGTCAGATGTGGCCCATGTGGAAAGTTTGCAAGAGAAGTCCCAGTGCGCTCTGGAGGAGTACGTTCGGAGCCAGTATCCCAACCAGCCAACTCGGTTTGGGAAGTTATTACTGCGCTTGCCCTCTCTCCGTACAGTCTCTTCCTCGGTCATAGAGCAATTATTTTTCGTCCGATTGGTAGGTAAAACCCCAATTGAAACCCTCATCAGGGATATGTTGCTGTCGGGGAGCAGTTTTAACTGGCCTTACATGTCGATTCAGTAGGCAGAAGGAATTATCAAAGGGGCTGTGACTACAATAGTTAGCGCTTCTTTTGTAGAAGGAAACGGCTGTTACACGAGTTTACTTTCACGAAGAAAGACTTTCATACAATGACTGTGAATTTTAAAATTGAGACATTCAGTGAAGCCTCGAAATCCAGAGATTGCTCCCAATGTCATTCTGAACAGTTTGTTATAATGTTTTTTGTTTGTTTGTTGTTGTTGTTTTTTTTTTTAATAAATGCAAAGATGAATAAATAAATAAATAAATTACCCACTAAAATTAATACAAAAGGGAAAAAGGCAAGAAAAAAAAACAATTAAAGGATTTTCACACTCTTTTCTGGGACAGCAAAACTATAAAGTGCATTTAAGCGACAATTTGGAAAGATTAAGAAGAGAAGAAAAAAAAAACGTTTTTTGTTTTTTTTCCAAATTGCTTTATTGTCCCGTGTCCATGTATCTATAGCTGTTTTTGTAATTTTTGTTCCTCATTTCTGGTTCTAAACCGGCCTGTGATTCTGTAGTATGCAGTTGCTGTGTTTTTTTTTTGTTGTTGTTTTTTTTCTAATAACCATGGCTTCTTCTAAAACAGTTCAGTGTTGTAAAGACGTTCTTCGAGAATTCGAGAATTAAAACTCAATCCACAGCAATATAGGCTATGCTTAATGCTGCAAGCGCACTTACTCTATTGATGTCCCTTAATGAACAAGAGTAGGGATTATTTTCATGATCGACTCAAACTTATATACACAAAATGCCAGAGCACTATTAATGTTCTAATGTCTTAAACAACTCTTCTAACTGATATAGACACCCCTAAATCATTATCCCCCAAAATGGACGCAGGAGCAATACTCCACTCTGCAAAAAGTATCAGTTATAAGCGCCACAAAAGTATTTGCAAAATCTCATCGTATTTGGTTGACAGTTATGACCTGTCTTTTTTTTTTTTTTTTTTTTATTTTGGTTAGGGAATGGTCGTCAGGTTGTAATGCAAATAGTAGAACAACGTGTTTGATTTTACAGTTTAGGAGAGCCCCACTTAATATTTTCAGATGTATTACAGGAACCCACCTTAAGTTGCGCCCATGCGAATTCTCGCTCAAGTGTTTTACCACAGTAAACTGTATTTTGTCATCATTCTTTTAATGATAAAGCAGCAGTATTAATAAGACGTCCCTATAAATGTCTCTCAACACTTAAAGCATTAAAGTGCCTGTACAGCGCAAATGTGTTATTAACGGTTACTGTTAATACTGGTAAGTCTATACACAACGGGGAACACGCTTAGAATTTACAAAGTAAGTCTTATAATTGTTCATTTCACTTGAAGATAAAAAAAATCACAAGTAGAGGCAGTATTCTTGTAAATATAGGTCAATTCATTTCAAGTACTTTTCTTTATACAACGTATATGTGATTAAGAATAAAACTGTGGTTGCCAATTTTTTTCGGTAATACAAATGTCTTCAAATGAGTGACAGACTTAGCTAGTAGCACTGAAAGTTCTGTTTGTAATGTACATACATATTAAGACAAATGTTTTTTTTTCTTTCTTTCTTTTTCATGTATTTAGACTGTGAATGCATGGCCACAGGTCGCTAACCTATTTTACCTTTGATATATATATATATATATATAAATTTCCGGTAATACAAATGTCTTCAAATGAGTGACAGACTTAGCTAGTAGCACTGAAAGTTCTGTTTGTAATGTACATACATATTAAGACAAATGTTTTTTTTTCTTCCTTTCTTTTTCATGTATTTAGACTGTGAATGCATGGCCACAGGTCGCTAACCTATTTTACCTTTGATATATATATATATATATAAATGTAAATGTTTTTGACTGTATAGATATAATCTGTGCATTCAGTACACTAGCCCTTGTATTTAAAAAGACAAAAAAAAATGGGAAAAAAATGTTCGACGATAGGTTGACACTTAACAGGGTGAGCTGGTTTGGAAAGGGGTGGCTATTTTGACTTGGTGTTCTGCTCCTTTTCGGTCTGTAACAGATGCCTTGTGTGTGTATGTGTGAAAGCTTGCAATTTCGTCCTTGTTTTGAGGCTTTTCTTCAACACACAAGACACCATGTTGTGATTGGATAAAAAGGGATCATATTGTGTAGTTGATTGAACAGTTATTTTGGGCTGTTCTCTGCCACATATGGACCAGTGAATGATATGATTGTAATTATGAACAGTTTAAACTGACCCACGTTTTTATATAAATATATAAAATATATTACTGCAGGGTATTGATAACGTATAGATACTTTTTTTTATTATTATTGATTATTATTAATTGCAAGTGATATACGTGAGTGTGTGTGGAAGTTTATAGTTGAAAACAATTCTTGTTTGTTTGTGTTAGCTTATTGTAAACAAGCATTCTGCTGTAAATTTGTTATTGGTATTAAATTATAATTTATGAATTTGAAATCAAAAGGCTTTCAATGTTGTGTTATTCATTAGCAGACAAATTTGTCTGTTCTATCGGACAGTGAACTCATGCTCTGTCTCAAACTGCTGAAGGTTGGGTTTACGTATGTGTGTATGAGACGAGAGAGAGAGACGGTTGGGGGTGCGAGGGTGACTCCGAGGTTTGGCATGGGAAATTGTCCAGGTTACGTCTAAATTTGGCTATGTAAATACAAGTGCACAGTGCTGCAGTTTAAAGTGAGAACGTACGCTTTTGATTCGCCCTCTAACACTTTACTTTTTACACATTAATATTAATCCGTCTTTGATAAAACAATAAGGAAACATCAAGTATCATGTCATTCCTGCTTACAAGGTATAGATTGTGTGTATATGCGCAGAGGTTCTTGCTCATTGCCTTGTTGGGCATCACTATCCATTTTATACATAAAATCTTCTCAGCGCAGGTTGACACGTCCGAACTGAAGTCGCATGAAATGCAACATTGGACGTTCAATACATGTCAAATGAAATGCCATCTTGTTGTTAACGTGACACATGACAAAATGCAGACCCACTGTTTGTTCTACCTCAAAAGCAATATTTTATCTGTCACATTTGGGGCTATCTGTTAGAGGACACCAAGCGTGTGAAGCTATCCTGTAAACTGCGCCTTCAACTTGGTGTCCTATTAGTTGAGTCAATATGGCGTCTTGCAATTCAAAGCAAGCTACGGCTCTTGTAATAGAAACCACATTGCTAGGAGAAAAGGCCCCCTCAATCGACACCGCCCCCCCCCAAAAGAAAAAACCCCGCTTCAGACAGAAACCGTGTTAGAGTTTTGTCAGGAGTCCAAGAGTCCTAAAATGCATAGATATGCTTGATATTTTCACTGTCAATGTAATTAAAATGAGATAAAGTGAAACGTCCCAGATAAATGGGACGAACAATAATGGTAATCAGACCACTACCACCATTGCTTGTTTTTGTTCAACTGTATAATAATAATAATAATTATAATTATAATAATAATAATAATAATACAGTGCATATTAAATTAAATAAAGCTGTATAACATTTATTTAAGCTTTATTTATTTATTTATTTATGTATTTATTTATTAATTTATTTATTTGCTTGCTTGCTCCTCTTTTCACTAAAGATTCGGGGTCCTCCCTGAAACTGATCAGGAGGGCAAGAGTTATAACGTAATTCTGGTAAGTTTGTTTCGGGGCTATCGGTAAAGACCTGTTTAGATGATCGGAAATGATTGGTGGATGTTAGATATTGTTTTAAAGGTGGTCCAGGATGTGTGTTTGATGAGTGCACTAATATATGTAGCAGAGGAAGGCTTGCAATTATGACACAGTGATGAGACCTATTAACTGCTCGAGATACTATTAGTAGTTGCTTAATGATTACATTAGCATTGCATGCTTTAAATAATAATAATAATAATAATAATAATTCCACTATGTAAGTCTTTAAAACAAATTCCACAGTACACAAACGTAACAGATCTTAAGTGGTATGGTAATATATTTTGTCAAAGATGAATTGTCAGTTCCTTCGCTTTAAATGCACGTTTTGCTTTGATAGGCTTACCAGAGCAGGTTAGTAGTAATTTGGATCATGGCTTCACAGGCTTGATTTTAGTTGACAGAGCATGTGTTGAGGCTGAACTCTATAATTTGCACTTCTGTTCTTCTATTAGCGTCGGACAACGAACTAATGGGGTCTCCCTCAGTTCAATGTCACCTTTATTTATTTCTTCGTGGAAAAAGTACTATTGGGATATGGCTGGCCAACCGAGCTAACAACAAATGATTTCTAACTGCTTCTCCGTTGATTAACCATAGATATAGCAGACATTGTAAACTCGTGTAAAGCATGTCGATATTCTTGCAAGTGCGAGGAATTTTTTTTTCATAAAGGCGTTATTATGTGATGTAGGTTCGTCAAAACTGCCTCAAAAATCGTTACTGTGCAAATGTGTTGTGTTGTGTTGGCGGTCGCGAAGGGTTGAATTGCTCGGTTACCGCCATCAGCATCGTCTACACTAAATTGCAGATGTTTCTAAAATAATGAAATATAGGCTCATTTTAAAAGTTAGCAAATAATTATCTGGCCTAACAGCTAAGTGTATGTGGTTTTGTCGATCGGTTATACATCGGTTAGAGTCCTTAGCAAAAGTCATCATAGCTTTGATATAGGCTATCATATGCTCGCTTGTGTTCGTATGATGAGCTCGACGAAGGAAGAGCCAGCAATTGGTTTCCATAGCGACCTCCAAAGAGCAGCGATAATAAGCAAAGCATAGACCCCCACTCCCTTAGAAAAAAAGACAATTAAACGTTTGTGTTGTTCCTTCACGTCACTTGAGTATCATGCTATTTCTGTTTCATTATATTTATTGCCCCTCGAAGAATTTGCTAAATATAGAGGGGACCTGTCCATAATTCCAGCCCTCAGATTTAGATCAGTTTATATGAGAAAAACTCTCGTCACGACCTTAGTATTTTGGCTTCTCAAATAATGAGGTACTTTGGAGAACTTTTGTCTGACGTCATCTATATTTGCTGCAAATTGCGTGGAGTGTTCTGCAACGGAGCAATTAAACAACAATTTAATGCGGCTTAGTCTAGCGCATAAACTGTTTAAGTAAATGCTTGTATTTTCGATAATCTTCATATTAACCTTTATATGTTTTTTACAAAACCGCCAAATGCATGATTGGGTCAGTAGCCTATGCCTTGACATTCTTTCTTTTTTATTATATATATATATATAAAAAATTTTTTATAAATTATAATATATAATTCTAAAATGG